TTTTTGAATCGAGAAGAAAGCGTTCTATAATAATATGGAACGGCAAAGAATGCGTTCCACTAAATAATAAATATTTTTTTGCCATTAATGAATGCTTTCGTTAAACTGCAGAAAGCGTTTTCCTAATGCAGGACCAGTTTCCATGTTTTTACGAATGCGTTTTCTACCATTTTTTTTCATGGTCATTTTTCACTGGGTAGAAGCATATTCGGGGAATATTAGGATCCTTGAACCCGTGGAAGAATATTCCGGAAACCCTCGAATCCTCGGAAGTCTAGAAGAATATTCCGGGAATACTTGGATCCTCGAAACTGTAGAAGAATACTTGGTTCGTCGGCAGTGTAGGAGAGTATTCTGAGAATACTCGGATCCTACAAAGCCTTAAGGAATATTCCGGGAACACTCGGATCCTTGAAAGCCTTGATGAATATTCTGGGAACACTCGAATCATTGAATACCTTGAGTAATATTCCGGGAGTACACGCGGATCCCTGAATACCTTTAAGAATATTCTGGGACCCTTTAAAGCCCAAGGGAATATTCTGAGAATACTCAAATCCTTGAAAGCGTAGAAGATTATTGCATAAATCCTCGGATCCTCGAAAGCCGAGTGGGATCCTCATAGCCTATTCGAATCTTCCAGGTTTTACACAGGTTGTTATAGGTAGGATAAACGAGAGATAAATGGCTTCGCTATGTTTTTGTGTGGCATGTCATCTATATGAGTAAAGAGCCATGTGGATTGCTGTGTGGTTTTTGACACTATTACTGTGTGAAGAGACAAGTCGACGAAAAGATCGAAAGGATCTTGGTTTACTTTTTTCTACGGTTTATAGTTACATCTATCAGTTCTTGTAGGATGAGATCTGGGTGTGGTGCAGATGCGAGTTGATGTCTGTATGTGGGTGAGAGTGAGGGCGAAGGATCAATATATCAGAGACGTGTATCGTGGTTGAAAACCTCTCGCTGGCACCCTACATACACTACTTGAGAAGCGTAAGCGGCAGCGCTTCCATGGATATCTCGAGAATATAACACCCAAGACTAGGCGCACATCAACAATCACGCTCACACCTGTATCCTCAAAAGTTACTGAAAGTCGATTAGTTGGCTTCAAAATTGTAAAGTCAACTCCAACATGTATATCACATGAAATCGATGCAAACAAAAATTTATTTTGTTAGAAGCATGTGGCGAAGGGTGCATTTAATTGCGGGTGTCTGTACGAATGACTAAGAGATTAGAGGGTGAGTGTAAGCTGTAAACAAAATATCCTACATATATTCACTTATGCTTACCTCAACCAACACTTTGATGGGATTGATGTGCTATATAACAATCTCTAGTGGCACGGCGAAGGAACTGTTAATTAGTATTGAGATTATTGAAAAAACTCCAGTGCTAGTGCATAAGCTTCTGTAAAAAGATCTTGTGAACTGTAAGTAGACTCCTAAGGAACTATACGGTGTTGTCAATTTTATTTGAGAAATCGCTTTTTGCTAAACATGTGCTCGGAGTTATTAACAAAAGTTTCTTTTTTGAGAATTTAATTGTAGAAACGCGGGATGGAAAGAAGAGATGACTTACGTCGTCGTCATCGTTTGCGACGATTTTTCATCGAGTTGAATCTTTTCGAGACGGATTTGACTGATGAACGGGCGATCAAGATTCAACGATGGTCAACTCGGATTTATATTATGCTTCTTTTTTATGCGATGTGCATTCTACTCGTCTACAATGCATCAGCTGTGAAAACACAACAAATTGAAGTGAGAAATCCATCTCTTGAAACATATTTGGCACTGGAAAATACCTACGACACGAACGTCAAATGCCCATGCACTGAAATATCTGTTTCGTATCGTTCATTTGCCATAATAATTCCAGTTTATCATGAAATATGTTCCAGTGATTTCGTTTCACAAAAATGGATCGATATGCTCTTCAATGATCAGACGTCCATGCGTTATATGACAGATTTTCGTGCAACGGCTAGCCAACAATTTCAAGTTTTACGAGAACTGTGCACATTCTCACAAACGGCTATCAATAACGACACCCAAGCCTTCTATGATGATGAACTCATCTCATCCTATTTACTAAGCGAGAATTTATTGAAAGCTGAAATGATATCAATCACTGCAGCCTTTCGAACAAGTAGCGTGACGAATTTCCTTCGTTCTCTTTCATTTATACGCAAGTACGTGTTGGGAAATCAATTTATGACTGGAATTCAAACCAGTTCCACGTCAATTCTTTACTCACAAGATGGACTAAACTGGACGGGAGAGCAAGTTTCAACTACATTTGTAGAGCATGGAACTATTGACGATTGCCAGTGCTCTACATCTGCCACCTGTAATATGTGGTCTGCCTTCTACAATTATACGGACACTGACCCGCGTGGGCAATTTAAATGGTTAACATCCACCGTAACTCTTCAAGTAGCAAATTGGTTCGCCGGTTGCTGGCCCTTGGAATCACTCCTTATGTCGTCACTCGACAACAGTTTCTTGAATAATCAAAGTGAACTCGATATCATAGCAACATATTTCAATTGGTCGTCAGATTCAACGCCTACCGCTCTGAACATACAGAAACCGGCAAATCAAACTGTCACATTCAATGATATTCTAGAGACTTTGTTCATAGAGAGTATCTCACCAGAACTCAACTATTCACTTTACTTTGCTCAATGTCGCCCAAAGTCATGCTTCTACTCAATCAATCAACACTCGAGCTTTTTATACATATTTACTGCTCTTCTTGGACTATATGGAGGTCTATCTGTTGTTCTCCGATTACTAATTCCATACGTGGTCGGCTTTTTCGTTCGTTATTTGACTAAAGCATCGGCTCAACATTCATCTGTTGATATTGGTAAGTTTCAATGGAGATTAAATGAGTAAAACTTTTTATTTATATAGTGACAACAACGCAAACATGGAAACAGCGAGCACAGACGCTGGTAAAACTTATATGGAATTTTCTTATTGATCTCAATCTGTTCAAATCATCACTTCGACGACACCCATCGGATATCAGACAACAACTGTGGACAACACGAATCTATATTACACTACTCATTCTTACTCTTATCATTTTAACACTTTATGGGATGTTGAGCTTCGAAATAAAACTGATTTAAATGAATAAACCTTCACTCAGTACTGTGCAACAATTACAATCTCAGTCTCAGATCAACTTAATTTCTTCTCTGCAATGTCCATGTACAAATTTAACGGCACCCTATAGTGAATTCATTGAACTCCAGCCATTCTATCATCAAGTATGCTCGAGTGATTTCGTATCAGACCGCTGGGTAGATGCTATCAATGCTATAGGCACTAATTTACCGTACCTATATAGTGCGTTTTCTATCGACGCACGTGATTTTTCGTTCACCCAGACGCTATTTGTGCTCCTGAAAGTTCTGTGCAATTTTTCTATCGAAACAGTTGCCAATTCACTGCAGACGTTTGAACAAACACAACTAGTCGGTACTCAATTGCTTGCAGCGGATGAATTTAAAAATCAAATGTTCTCTGTTATCAACACGTTTGAACTGGAAACAAAAAGCACCTTTTTACACTTCCTTCAACTTATGCGTAATATTACACACGTGAACCAAATCGTGTCTGGCGCAGGTAGTAATTCTTATATTCAAATTGCCGGTCCACCTAACTATACTGCTTCTTTGTCTATAATAACTCCCAAGGATGATAATTCATCCGATATGTGTTCGTGCGCATATGATTCAAGCTGTAAATCGAATTGGGGCTTATTTAGTGGAAATCCAGTGTATATCCGAGTATATTCTGTACCTGAATTCTATTTTGCGTGCGAACCAGTTGAATCACTTCTACAATCAACACTTAAATGTTTCTATGACGATCAAGACTGTTTGGACATTATTATCAACTTTTATAATGTATCATCCTTTAACAACTTTACTCGACTCAATTCTTCTTCTCATGCAAGTGGTTTCATGATAAATAGTACAATTGGTTCTCTACTATCAGAGATGTTTATTGAATCTTGGTCTGAATCTACAAATTATTCATCCTATTTTGATCAATGTCAACCATCGTCATGTTCCTATACGATTCCACAACGCAATAGTTTACTCGAAACAATAACAAGAATTGTCGGTCTGATCGGTGGACTGTCTGTATCACTGCGCATTCTTGTTCCATTTATGGTCATGGCATGTATGGGAGTTATTCGACGCTTGTGGTCCCAACATCAACCAGCACTCACAGAAGCGAGTAAGAATATATTTTATTTATATCTACAGCATTTTTAATGAAATAACTTTTAGCTCGTCCTCTATCACATTTTATGAGAGTTGGTAATAAGATTCGAGATGGGTTGCAGAAAGTAAATGTATTCGAAGATACAAACCGTACAGTCACTATTCAACAACAATGTGTAGCAACACGTATCTATTTACTTCTTCTCGTCATATCATTATTCATTGTCGTTCTCTACACTTCGTTGACCTATTATTTGAATACATTCACAATAACAAAACCATCTCTTGAACAATATCAACAATTACAACAACGCTACGGATCAGATGCTGTTAGTTGTCCATGCTCTCGATTGTCTATTGCGCATTCATCATTTATCACATTGCAATGCAACTTTCATCCTGTTTGTACGAGTCCTTTCATCTCTGATCCATATCTACAAGAATTGTTTCAATTATACAATGGTTTGGATTCAACATATGCAACAACGAACGCATTCACTCTTCAAGGCACTATTTTCAGTCATTTTCAAGCTCTTCGTGCCTTGTGCAATTTGGTAAAAGATTTTGTCAATGATGCTGAACAACAATATCTTGTTTCCTCCATCATCTCCACCCTTATGATTGACCGCGATCTGTTCGAGAAAGAGACAAATGCATCACTCAACGAATTCCAGTCAACATTACCGAATTCATTTCTAAATTCGTTTCAGATGATACGTGGTCTCATGCAAGGTAACGGATTCATCTCCGCCTATTCGACAAACTGGTATTATGTTACCAAGAATATTGTTCTACAGGCTATCCTTTATCTCAAACCACAGTATTATGGCAGTGACATGTGCAATTGTGCAACATTATCGACATGTACTCAATCGTCGACACCTTATATTAAAGGGTATCTTGTTGGTTGTACTCCACTTGAATCACTCCTTCAAAGTACACTCGAATGTCTCTACGAACAGTCTTGCATTGATCTTCTTACTACCTATTTGAATATGTCTTTATCCAATCATCTTCTACCATTGAACAAAAGCGAAACTCGTTTTTCTTCAAATGATACCGTTAACTATATTGTTGAAAAAATGTTTGTCGAAACATGTTTATCAAATGTCTCATATAATCAATTTTTCGAAGAATGTAAACCTGATTATTGTTCAGTGACAGTATTCGAAACAGCCAGTTTCGTCATTGTTATCACCACGATTCTGGGTCTTTATGGTGGACTAACAACTTTTCTCAAACTTGTCGTACCCTTTCTTGTCTTTTCAACTTACAAATTAGTCAGAAAATACAAGCAACGAGCACAAGTTGGAATTCAACAGGTAAATGTGTATTTATAAAGTTGTTGGGCTCCATAGAATAAAGAGTCTCGATATAAGAGTAGCTTGGGAGTACGACCAGCGGGATACCCGAATAATTCTAATTTCTATACTTACCGACACAATGTAACTTATGTCTATTCTTTAGATTCCAGTGACTTCTTTGGATAATAACACGGTATCAGTTGACAACACCGATCATGCCGAGCGTCTTTTCATCAAATCCAACCAACATTCAGATCTCAGTTCAAACACCCTGGATCCAACAAATGTTTGCACTGATGCCGTGGCCGCAGGATTGGTGTTCACAGCTCCATCTATCTCGTATGTCTCTTTCCTTTTTACTTCATTCATAGTTTAGAGTTGTTTTTCTTAGAACAAGTTTCCTTACATCAATACTACGCTATCGAAAGATCATCGTTGGGTTTATAGTGTTTATAATTGTGGCAGCTGCCATCATTATTCCATCTGTTTATCTTACTCGAGAAAAACAGGGAGATGATCAATCTGTGCTGACAGGTAAGATTTTCTTTATTATTACGTTTCTTCTCAGAACAACGAGTCTAGAAATCAAAGACGAAACCGAGTTAGATTCTGACTGCAAAAGTTGATTAGATCCAGCTTTTATAAGTCCAATAATAAAAAGAATAATAAAAGATCGAAAATCACTTAAATACTTTCTATCGTTCTATACAATTCGGAAATCGTTGAAAATTGCTGTTGTTGATCATTTTCTTCACGTCAAAATGATTTTGTATATATTATATCGAATCTTTGTCAAGCATTTCTTATCTCTTAGTTCCTTCAACAAGCACAACCACAACAACCAGTGCCACTACAAGTATCACTACCAACAAGATAATCACCACTAGCAGAAGCACGACAACAAGCACAAGTGCAAATATAACAATCACTACGACAATGAACGGGATCTTTTCGCCAGTAACAGTTTCTACTCCAGCAGGTTCGTATATCAAAGACTATCTAGCTGTTTTTATCGCATGACGTTTTGATACAGTGAAAGTCAGAGTTCGTGGATTTTTCATTATGACTTCTAAAATGAGACGCCTCACCTAATATCTCCTGAGAGTGTGCATGCGGTTATCACTTATAGATCATATCCACACCCTCATGAGATAACTTCAGACTTCTTGGAACGGTAACGAATGATTGAAAAACATAAGGTTATTATAAGTCGCTTTGATAAAAAATAGCTAGTTGCTTTTAAAAAGTTGAGTCAATAATGTACGACAGATTCAAAATTCGTGTACATCATCGGCACCTGTTAGTAACCTGTGAAATTAAAGGAAATGTTTTTTTTTTGTTTAATCTTCATTTTAATGTTTTCTTCTATTAGTCGTATCGTGTACAAATTTGACTTTTGCAGCAGCAGTTCCATATTCAGTTGGAACTAAACCTCAGATGACTGCCATTGGTGATTTCAATGGCGACGGAACACTAGATCTTGCCGTTATCAATTATAGTGGAAATACTGTGAGCGTGCTCCTTGGAGTCGGGAGTGGGCGTTTTGGATCACAAACAACATTTCCAACTGGTCTTAGTCCCGCCTCGATCGCTGTCGGTGATTTCAATGGTGATGGTCGATTAGATCTTGCCGTTGTCAACAATGGTGACAACACCATGAGTGTGTTATTTGGAACTGGTAGTGGAAGTTTTGGACCACAAATGATTTACACAACTGGTCCTCACCCGTACCAAATCGTTGTCGGAGACTTGAATAGTGATGGTCGATTAGATCTTGTTGTTGCCAACTTTTACTCGAGCAATGTGGGTGTGTTTATTGGGATTGACAATGGATATTTCGGACCACAAACAACATACCCCACTATCGGTAATCCGACCTCCGCTGGTATCGATGATTTTAATGGTGATGGTCATCTGGATCTTGTCGTTACCAGCCAGTCCTGGGCCACCATAAGTGTTCTACTTGGAACCGGTACTGGGACTTTTCAATTACAAGCAACGTTTTCAATTAATTCGATACCGTGCAGCGTCGCTACCGGTGATTTTAACGGCGATGGTCGAATAGATCTTGCCGTCGCTAACGCCTACCCCTCGTTGATCAATGTGGGTGTACTTCTTGGCAACGGTGATGGATCTTTTGGATTACAAACCACGTTTACCGATGGGTCTAGTCTTACGCTGAAGTGGATCACTGTTGGTGATTTCAATGGTGATGGTTTAAAAGATATTGCTGTCTCCAACTCTTTCCCAGTACCCAACGTTGGTGTGCTCCTTGGGTCCGGTAATGGATCTTTTGTATTACAAACCACAATTGCAACTGGATCGGATTCTTCACCATATGGAATCGCTGTCGGTGATTTCAATAACGATGGTCGACTAGATCTTGCTGTTTGCGATCGTAATGCAAAGAACCGTGTGAACATTTTTCTCAATACATGTACATGAGAGGGATTTTAATTCAGACTTTTTTGTTGTTGCTTGATGTTCTCATTTTGTGCTTAATGCTTTCAATATCTTATATAATTGCTTTTTATTATTTACTTGCTCATCATTTCAAAAATACACTACATTTATCTTAATCTGAATTATTCTTGTTTTTTGTGGATAAAGTTAAATATTGTTTAGAAGTTTGTAGAGAAAAACAAGGAGAAGAAATGAATAGAACGGAAAACAGTGACATTTATGAAATATCATATAATGAGCAATCATAGAATTTGATGAATAACGCTGGCCTAAATCTAATCAAGAAAGAGATGCATAGAGAATTCATCAATATTTCAAAGCAATATCAAACATCAATAAACAAGAATCTGTATGAAATTAGCGAAGAAAAAGACATGAAATACTAGTTAGTTTCTATATAAATGACACAATATCTAATTTAAGTGAAAGAGTTCTACGAGAATGATAGAGAAACAAATATGATGATGTTATTAATGAAATAATGTCTATGATGAGGATGAAACAAATTATTTTATAATATTTTATAATAATTAACGCTCGTCGTTCGAGCAAAAAAACTGACGATTAATCACGACCAAGGTTATTCTCACCCTAAAAAGTCAATATTCGATTTTATGATGAGTTCTAAGGATGTTAAATCATTTTTTCTGAAAACTTCGACTTTACAAAATAAAATTTTTACAAAAAACTTTATTTTTTGGGTATAGATGTTGTCTCTTTATTTATTTTCATACTCAAACCATCAAGAAATCTTACTGATCAACAATATGTTCAATTATTTCGAGAAATAAACAAAAACAATACACTAGACGATTGTCTGGTTAGTTGTACTATGGTTGATGAAGATACTTCTACGGAAACTGAACAATATATAAATTATGTTATTAAAATATTCGAATATATTGAAAATACGAATATTAATTTAGTAGATTATGATGTGGGAGATAGAATACATCCAAACTATATGGAAATATATTATTCCAATGTTAATTCAAATAATATTTGAGGAAAAATTTATAATTATTATGTTCGAACTTCTTGTATGTTTCTGTATCTCTGTGTACTCTTAATTCACCTGATTTTTATTAATTCATATGTTGATTTTACATTAGAAGCTAATAGAATCATATATCAACTAATTCTATTTCAAAACTAACAACATGTGAACGAAAATTGCCCTGCTAATGTACCGAGTTTGAAATAATTATGTGTAGTTCTATCTCTTGAACTAAAAATCTCAAAGTCCAATTATTTGTCTTTATCTTGCACCCACATCCGCAGCTTGTAAAAACATCTTTAAAGTTATATTAAAACTGATAAACTCAAAGTGGCTTGAATAGGTGTCAATGATTTAATCGATAATATGATAACGATGAGAGTTAATAGTTACAGTGAGAGAAAGAAAGCATATGGTCTTTTCATCATAGTATAATATGGCATTTATTCAAAGTTACACTTTCAAATTCAAATAAAAAAGAAATATTCTGAGATTATTCTCTTAGTTCAGAAGTGTAGTTGAACGCTTTAAAAATGTATATGGAAGATCAGAGCGATGATGTTGAGCAATGAATTCGAGTGTATTGATGATTCGTGAGACATCTTCATCAGACAAGCCAGCATGGAATGTTAATCTCAACATAGATCCATTCAGGGGCGTCGCAGGTGCTACGAATATAGCACCAGATATTCCAGCATTTTCGAAATAACTCTGAAGTTTTTTTGAGAACAAATTCGGTCCACCATTCAAACACAGAATGGGACTTGGCAGTGGTGTTTGTTCGACATCAAACTGTAATGTTACTGCAGCATGACGTACGGTTGTTGCAATGTGCATTAATCTTTGTCTTTCTTTATCTGCATTGTAAATTATATTGATAGCACGTTGAAGACGTTGTATATCCCAATTCATAAGTGCACTGCTAAATATTGCAGCTGATGATTTTTCTCTCACATACAATATTTCTTGAGTTCGACCAGCAATGAATCCAGCACGAACACAATACGCTTTAGCTAGACTACCCGTGATAAAGTCAATACGATCTGTTACATTTCCCAATGATGCAAGACCGCAACCGTGCTGCCCATACAATCCAATTGAATGAGATTCATCGACTATCAACATGCAATTATATTGTTCCTTGAGATTACAAAGTTCAATCAGATCAGCAATAGAACCTTTTCCTGAGTAAAGAGAGTCAACGACAATAATTCCACTTCCAAATTTGCGAAGATTTTCTTCTAGATCATCTAAAGAATTATGTTTAATTTTGTGAATAATACCACGACTAGCGCCTTGCCAAAGTGACTCATGAGCAGCAGTATCAATATAGATGTGGGTCTTCGCAGGAATAACCAATGCTTGAAGTAGACCATAATTAGCCACATATCCACTTTGAGTTAAATAAACACTTTCTTTTCCAAGTATTTGCTTAGCTAGTAAGTCAGACACTTGATATTGACAAGAGGCTTCTTGTAAAAACAATCCTGACATTATGTTGTCGGATCCTTGTCTTGGGATTAACAATTGCTGTTTCTCATCCAATAGACTTTGACACGAGACTTTTTCAGTCTTCGAAATCACGTTATTCATATTATATTGATACACATCATCAGCAATTAATCGTGGATCAAACGACAAATGTAAATAGTCATTATTGTCAAGGTAGATATCAATGCAATTCGGCCGTGTTGATGCAAGTAGATCTATGATACCCTTGCCTGTGGTGGATGATTCAAAATATTTCTGCATATCCTGAAGAAATTGTTCTCTTGTAGAATTCATCTTTGGTGTATGACTAAGAGACATGGTTGATAACGCTGTGGATGATAGTATGTTGGAAACTGTTCCTCCTGAAAAATACGAGAACAATAACAACGATGAATAACATGTTGCATGGATAAGCAATATAAAAACAGACTATTGTGTATCTTTTTGCTTTAACAAAATTACTCGATTCACTTCAAATTATTTCATTTCTTACTAGGGCAACCTGAATTGTAGTGATATAGTGAAAAAGATGCAAACGAACTAGTTAAGCCGTGTTTTATGACTTACTTAAATGTGATCGGTATTTGTTGTTGGTTAGAATCAAATGTTTGGCTATACAATTACGTACGAGACGAAACATATTCGTTTGCTTGAATAATTACTATCTGAAAGTAGAATTGTTAAAGAACATCTTGATATGTTGAATTTTTTTAGAACTATTAAGGTTCCGGCAGATAAACGGACCATTCCGAGCAGTCAGATAACCTTTCGTGAGAAAGGATTTGTTTCGATCCGTGAGGTATTATTGGATTCAACGCATGCACCTTCTGATCGGAATGTTCTAACATTCACACTCAAGGCACAGCGAGACTTACACAAAGAATTCAAAAGGGTTAATGCAAATATATGAATGATCAGACACCAGAAATTTCATCTCGTAAGAGATGTCTACATTGTCACTTTTACAATAACAGCAGATCTATCGCGTTTTACATTTTAATCTCATAGAGATTGCGTCAATAGCTTTTATTGTAGTATTACCTTCACTTTCCAATCTGTATCATCGAATCTCTCAATTTAAATACCTAAAAATCATTTTGTCGGATCATGTTATACAGTTATGTCACGCATCAAAAATTTACGTACCTTAATTGAATGTAAGGAGAGGAAGAGTAAGCACCTTTAATATATAATGAAAAAATGACTCAGCAAGGTAACTTTCAATGTGGTAATGAAATAAAAAGAGGAAAAATCACGTTCTCATAACAAATTACGTGGGTGCATTGAAAAACAGGGTCTAAAAGTCACGAATAAATCATTTGCAATTAAAGTGAAGGATATGCTTTAGTAGTCTCTTCCTTTATAGATACAATCTTCAGTCACCTGAACTGAGTCACAAAACTCTGAGTTAAGCGGAAGTCCAAAATCCATATTGTACCCATATGTACGCATTTTCAAGAAAAGTACTCCTTTGTTTTACAGCTGTATTCAAATTTTCTAAAAAAGGAAATTTTCGATATTACTAAAATTTCTTTTACATTATATTGAGTCATTAAACGCTATCGCCAGGAATTCGCTAACTATTCAAAAATATTTTAAAAGTAATGTCACCAAAAATTACTCAAAAAAAGTCGGCAACTACGGAAAGGGTGTGGGTGTGGACAGAGCATGATATCAACACCCACATCCTCTATCCTTAATGTTGAATATGTTTTGATTAATGATATTCAAGTAGATTTTACTCATAAATTAGTAGCACACAATGCACAAGTTCATCGACGGGAAGAGTACGTATAAAAAATATTGAGTAAATTTAATTGCATTTATTAGTTTATAGGTTGTTCGTAACACTTGGCTTAATCAACTCATCATCAGAATGTGATATCAATAATCTAGAAATTCAATTTTTAAATATGGTCTTATTATGACAAGTTTATATCTGTATAAAACTAACCAATCAATATTAATCTAAAGTAGTTTTAGAATGTATTAAAATTACAGAATTTGATTTACCAATATTGATGGGTAAAACTATAAATAGACCTTAGTGAAATGTATGATCGTTTTCTTTTGCGACAGAATCGATCAAGAATAAATAATGAAGTAGATTGAATTAAAATATATCATAAAGAATCTTTTATTTATATACATCTATTTAGTGTTTAACTATTGAACTTCGTCTTGATTATTTATCATCGATAATATTTGAAATCAATGACATACAAAATGATGAAGAGTAAAATAATTTTTTGGTAATCTCATTTATTTATATTTAAATCTTATTTGTTGTATAATTGATAATCATCTCTTACAAAAGTTCGCTTCGTTTCATTAACACGCAATAGCTGGTAACTATGTTCTATTCATATGAGATCGGTCCATGAAGAAAAAATGTAGAAGAAGATCCACACTTCATTAAACATAGTTTCAAAACAATTCAACAACTTTATTGTCATTTTTAAGTCGATGATGTGACAAAATCCTAATGAAACGATAAACACATTCTTCTAGCTTAACATGATAGTATCTTCATGACTAACATTTACGAATTTGCGAATTCTTTTGAATAAGTTCCTTCAAACGATATAAGACTTTCTCTTCAATTAGATAGCGATCGAGATCAAGTTCGATGAGTGTCTATATGAAAAAGTGAAAATGTGTGTATGAGATAGTTGACGAAAAAATGAGATTTACTGTGTTGTTTTCCAATGAATCAGCAAGATATTCTGACCCTTTGTCTTCAATTCGGTTACTACCGAGATTAAGTTTGATCAATGTCTATGTAAAAAAGTGTCAGTGTTTGTATGACGTAGTTGAAGAGAGTATGAGATTTACTGTATTATTTCTTAATGAATCAGCAAGATGTTGTGCTCCCATATCTCCGATTTCATTATTACTGACATCAAGTATAGTGAGTGTCTATGTGTAAAAATGTGTACGAGATAGTTGAAGAGAGAATGAGATTTACTGCGTTGTTTCTTAATGAATCAGCAAGATGTTGTGCTCCCTTGTCTCCGATTTGATTGAATGTGAGATCAACTGTAGTGAGTGTCTGTGTAAAAAAGCATAACTATTTGTATGAGACAGTTGAAGAGTGGATGTGATTTACCGTGTTGTTTTTTAATGCATCAGCAAGATGTTGTGCTCCCTTCTCTGTAATTTGATTGTTACTGAGAATAAGTGTGGTGAGTGCCTGTGTGTAAAAATGTACATGTGTGTATGAGATAGTTGACGAGAAAAAAAGATTTACTGTGTTGTTTTTCAATGAACCAGCAAGGTATTGTGCTCCTTTGTCTCCAATTTGATTGCCATCGAGATCAAGTGCGATGAGTGTCTGTATGAAAAAGTGTAAATGTGTGTATGAGACAGTTGAAGAGAAAAAGAGATTTACTGTATTGTTTCGTAACGTATCTGCTAGATATTGTGCTCCTTTGTCTCCGATTTTATTTTGGCGGACATTAAATGTGGTGAGTACCTATATAAAAAAGTACAAATATTTGTATTAGATAGGTGAACGGAAAATGAGATTTACTGTATTGTTTCATAATGAGTCAGCAAGATGTTCCGCTCCCTTCTCTGTGATTTGATTGTTGTTGAGATGAAGTGTAGTGAGTGTCTGTGTGAAGAAGTGTAAATATTTGTATGAGATAGTCAAGGAAAAAATAAGATTTACTGTATTGTTTTTCAATGAACCAGCAAGGTATTGTGCTCCTTTATCTCCGATTTGATTGCCATTGAGATCAAGTTCGATGAGTGTCTGTATGAAAAAAACTGTAAATGTTTGTATGTGATAGTTGAAGGGAAAATGAGATTTACTGTATTGTTTCTCAATGAAGTAGCTAGATATTGTGCTCCCTTCTCTCCGATTTGATTATAACCGAGATTAAGTGTGATGAGTGTCTGTGTGGAAATTGTAAATGCTTGTATGAGATAGTTGAAGAGAGAATGAGATTTACTGTATTGTTTCTTAATAAATCAGCAAGATATTGTGCTCCCGTCTCTTCGATATGATTATAATGGAGATCAAGTGTGGTGAGTGTCTATGTGAAAAAATACAAATGTTTGTATGAGATAGTTGAAGAGCAAATGAGATTTACTGCATTATCTCTTAATGAAATAGCAAGATGTTGTACACCTTTGTTTCCAATTTGGTTATAACTAAGATTGAGTGTCGTGAGTGTCTGTGAGAAAAAGTGTCAGTGTTTGTATGACGTAGTTGAAGAGAAAATGAGATTCACTGTGTTGTGTTTTAATGAATTAGCAAGATGTTGTGCTCTTTGGTCGTCGATTTGATTGTTGTAGAGATCAAGTGTGGTGAATGACTGTGAGAAAAAGTGTAAATGTTTGTATGAGATAGTTTAAGAGGGTACGGATGCAGGCATGGTTGTAGGCTCTTACTTGATATCTCGGATAACTGTCAAGGATTTGATTGAATCGTTGACAGACATTTTGCATTGAGCACAACAAAGTAAAATTGGTTTCATAGCCCAGACTTCTATAAACGAGCTCTATTGGTAATGTAAGAAATGTGCACATGCTTTTGTTAGATTTTTACGAAAACTCTTATATTATGTTATGTGGTGCTACCGAAAGTAGTTTTGTATGCTTTGATAACAGTATTTGGAGAGAGAATGGTACAATTATCTTGTCTTTAAAAGAATTGACTAGTGGTAATGTTCGTAACGAATTGTTAGTTTTGTTCAAAAAGATGGCGTTAATGTATATGTTTGATAGATTTTGGTGAAAAAATAAAATATATAATGTGTATAACTATTTTTTCTAATCTGATGTTTTCGATGGAGAGTGTCGGAACAAGAACAGATAGTTAACTTTCCGAACAGTAATTTTTTGGATTTGACTAAAGAATGTTGAGAGTGTCGGTAGATGTGTGTTGTTCTTATCACAACTACCCTTTGTAGAACATAAACAGTCCAGATTGGTTCCATCTATTGCTTTAGCTAAGTGTATGCCTGAATCTAACTTTTTGATCTGTTCTCAGGCTCTGTAAATGCTAAGATGGCTTTGTAAGAGTCTGCCAAAGTCTTTTCTCGTTTGCCAAGGCTATACAAATTAAACAACCTTCTAAACAAATCGTTCATAAGATTGACTACTATGTAAATGTAATGAAATTTAATTGAATAACTTGTATCAATAATAGATAAACTAGACCATCATCGTACTAAGCATAATTTTAATGTTCATTTATCTTAAACGTTAAAATAACATTGAAATCTGTCATGAGATAATAAACGAATTGTTTTTCCAAATGTTCCTATCGTAAAAATATTTATGGTTGAATGATCTATATTCTTCAAACGTTTCCTATATATCATTTACTAATGAAAGTGCAAATATTGTCTAGTAACAGATTATTAAGAAAGATATGGTACATAATAAACGTTTCCCGTTGACTTAATTTTTCTATGAACTATTCTACAATGAGTTTCAATAATTTCGCATAATCATCGATGTATAGATCGAACTAATATTCTTATTGCATATATTATCTTCGTAGAATATTCATTTGAGTTTTTATTTAGGTTACTGAATCATTTGTGTTCATTGTCCTAGACTAGTTGTACAAAATAGAATTTAGACACGCTCTATATAAATTTATTTAGGATGAAGAATAATGAAACAGTACAAAGAAAACGGTTATAACATATGATAAACAATACGAACAATATTTTATATAATTTAGATACATCCTTCTAAACAACAAACAAGCACATCTTTTAGATGTTCTATTAAATCATCATAATATGCATGGTTGTGTTAGCTAAAAGTACCGTTTCACCTAATAAATAAACTAGAATAGAAAGAATTTAATAACACTTATTGAGCTGTATGAATATTATTCATCGAGAGAGCTGGTTTATTTGTGGTTAACTGTGGAATAATTTGATTATTATTATTACGTTCTTGAACATTAATTCTGCAACAATATTTCAAATGAATACCAACAAGAACATATATGATTTGTTTTCGAAAGCGAGATGATGAACAAAAATAAATATAGAATCCAAGCTAAACAAAAAATACATATATATAATTTTGATTTAATAAGTTCATTGATTATTTTCTACTTACTGAAAATGTAGCATAATATAATATATTTGTTGTTGATAAAATAACTAAAAAAACAAAATAATCATTTGCATCTTTAATTGTTGTATAAGATCTGTAAGTAATATAGATAAAAAATGGTAAAGATATTATAACATCAACAAGTGTCTGAATTAAAACCTAAAATTAAAAAAAGTTGTTGTAAAATTTGGAGAAAAAAAAAGATTTTTATTTTCAAACCATCGATGTTATTTGTTTATCTCGTTCTAAACGAATAATAGGCACTTGATTATTTCTTAAACTACGCACATTTATAAAAGCCATAAGACCAAAAATAATTCGAATAATAAGTTGAAGAAATCCAAGTAGAAATGATATATAAAATCGATTGTAATAAAGACTAAAATTTGCATTTGTAATTGAACATGCCCATGTTACAGGATTAGTAGAAGCCATAGTTATATTATTATAAATAATCACAGGAATATTGACTAAACACCAAAAAATTAAAGTAATTATTGTTAAATATGCAGCTATATATCGTTGATTAAAATGACGCCAACGAACACTCAATGAAGTAAATTGATCAATTGTTGCAAAACACATCGAAGATATAGACATAAGTGGAGCTATAGTTGCTACATATGGACGTAGTTTGCATAGAAATAAAGATGTTTGAGTTAAATCAATATTATAACCCGTGATAAGAATACGTGAAAATAAAGTAGCAACTAATTGAATTATATTTGCAAATGAAGCTGATGTTAAATAAAATGCACATGAAGTTTCTCGAAATGTTTTCAAAGATAGAAAAACAATAATGTTAAGTATATTACCCAGTAAACCAGTTGTTAATATAAATAAACCAATATCGGTAGTAATTATTCCAGAAATTTGTTTTGCTAAATCAGTAACGTTCGATGACATAATTAAAATTTAAAATTTTGTAAATGTATTTTTATCTAGATTAAAATTATTATCTTATATATCAAAGACTATATTTTATGATTATCCGTGCATATTAATCATGTTAATATTCATAGTAGGCGTATAGAAATATCATTTATATTTATAATGATGACTGGAAAACTTAATAACAATGAAGATATGATGTCTTTTTCACCCGCAACAACAAATAACCTATGATAAATCTCTTTACATATTAAATGGTTTGTCCTTATATTTAATTAGATAAAGTCGAGGATGCATTAGAAGACCTGCGAGGTCGTCTAATCTGTCTTATCGTTCATTAAAAAAAGAATATCGTCTTGTAACGTTTTTTATATTGTTTTTAAAGGATTAATTACAATCAAAATGGAAAAAACCAAGAGAGAGTACAAGAGAAAAATGAAAAAGTAACCATTAGCGGGGGTCTTCTAATGTGTTACCGGTTCTATTAAAAGCATCAATACAAAAACAAAACTGTTGGGAACCAGAAATCTGTTTTTTACAACTTTTTTATCATTCTTTTCTTTCAAGGCAATATATATTTTATTAAAAAATGATTGTTCTAGTTCACATCATCTGTTTTTTGTACAATATCTGATGTTTGAGGAACTATTTGATTGGTACCATTTCGATGTGTTCTTTCTCGCCAACGTTTTAAATGAATTTCAACAAATACATATACCAATTGTTTGCGAAAACGTGATGATACACAAAAATAAATATAAAATGCTATCTAAATATATGAAAAAGTTACATTTTAAAAGTATTCATTCATTTTTAACTAACTCACTGCAAAATTTCCATAAAATATAATACGTGTTACTGCAATAATCAGCTGATCTTGTGCATTACTTATTGGATCATAAAATGTTACACTATTTGAATAGATATGATTGTAAATAATATAAGGTAATGTAATTAGAACATCAACAGTTACTTCAACTAATACCTACAAAGAATATATATATTTCAGAAAAAATAATTTCTAAACTTTTTTGTAATTTTACCATAGTTGTCAATTGTTTATCATGTTCTAATCGAACAATAGGTGTTTGATGTTTCTTTAAACGACGAACATTAACAAAAGCAAGAAGTCCAAAAATAATACGAATAATTAATGGTAGAAAACCAAGTAATATCGGAAATAGAAATCGAGAATAATAAATCGAATAACCTGCATTTATAACTGAACAACTTGTTTGATTATTACCAAGCGATAGATCAAGATCAACATATAGAAAAATAGTAATACCATGTAAGAACCATACAACAAAAGCAATGATAACTAGACGACTAGCTATTTTAACAGTACAAAAATGTCTCCAAGAATTTGTCAATGATAGATATTGATCAATTACTGCAAAACACATGCATGTAAAAGCAATAAGCATAGTAGTAATTAAAGTAAATTGTCGTGCTTTACATATAAATGATGATGTCTTAGTTGGATCAATATTATAACCTGTAATCATTATTCGAGATAATAAACCAACTACAAGTTGAAAAATATTAACACTAGATGTTACAGTCATATAAAAAGCAGCTGAAGTTTGACGAAATATTTTTAATGACGTAAAGATACTAATATTTAATATATTACCGATCATACCTATACAGAATACAATAAACCCACCATAGATAGTACTTTGATTAGTGGCATTTTTGTATGAATCAACATTGATAAAAGACATTTTCACAAAGAAATCAGACAACTAACTACTGTTCTTTTTTTTGTTAATAATACTGATATTTAATCGCTTGGGGGGTATCAAATATTTGATATATTTGAGATCTTTAGGATAATAGTGCAAAGCTCGTTGTTATTTTCGTCTAAACTCTCAAATAACAAAATTTAATTAAAATATCATAAGCAGTGTCATCAGATTTATTCATTATATAATATAAGAATTTTAGCAAGGTAAAATAACAGCGCTAGTGGCGCCGAAACCAATATGGTTCGTAGGAAACGTATATTTTGACATTTTAACGGAGGCATTAACTGAGTTTAATATGTAGCAGGTAGAGTATGATGATAATCAATATGACTTGTTTTTTTTCCTTTGCAAATAAGTTTTGCCTTTTTTTCGTTTACTAAACTTTTTGCGTCCTACTTGTTACATATATCAATAATAATTATGTCTCCTTGATGTTTATAGCGATAGTAGACATTAAATAAACAACATTAATTTTTACTAGATATTTTCTATTAAATATAAGATTTATAAAGTAGAAGAAAATGGTTCCTCCAGCAACAACATCAGGACGAGTTGGTCGTAAAGGTGGTGAAAGAAAATCAAAATCCGTTCGCGCAGGTAGAATTAAATAGAAACAGTTCTTTCATGATTCTATTGATAATCTATTTAAAGGTGTACTCTTTTCGGTACCACGTTTTCATCGTTATATTAAAAAATCGGTACCAAAAAGTCGTGTAACAATGGCTGCTGCCGTTTATACAGCTGCTGTGGTTTGTAATATACATGTATATTATTGAATGTAATCATTTTCTTTTACGTCAGATTGAATACTTAACCGCTGAAGTACTTGAATTATCTGGTAATGCAGCTAAAGATCATAAAAAACAACGTATCAATGCACGACATTTATTCTTGGCTGTTAGTATCGATGAAGAACTTAAAAAAGTATGAATATGTTTTTATAAATATATTATCAACAATAAAAAAAACATTATTTAATTAATTTCTATTAGCTTCTTCATGGAGTCACAATTCCTCAAGGTAAAAATAAAGTTAAATTATTTAATATAGATAAAAAAAACACATTTTAAATATTTAGGTGGTGTCTTACCTCATGTCAATGCATTCTTATTTAAGAATAAATTAGGCAATGATGATAGTAGCCATACTACATCAACCGCTCGAACATCATCAGCTACTGCCGGTACCAACAAACCAAGTTTATTATCATCAGCAAGCTTAAAAAAACAAACATCAGTTGCTGGTAAAAATGCAAGCAGTTCAGCTTGAAATTCTAAATCAAAAACACAGTTCTTGTGTGTATTTTCTTTGTCAGTAGATTTTAGTTTGCTTATTCATGTGAAAAAAAAACGAGATTTTCCATTAATAGAAATTTGGTGTATTTGCTTCATTTAACTACATTCTTATTTTTTAATTTTCAATTGAATATATATATACACGTTGATTTGTTTCGTTTTCATTATTGTATTTTAATATGTTTATGTCAGTAATCATCTTTTAGTTTATTATTTCTTTCGAAATAAAATAAAATATCAGAGTTATACAAGCGCAATGAAAGAATTTTGTCTATTTTGTTCGATTCGATATAATTATAATTATCACTTTTACTTTAAATTTTCCTAAAACAAAGTCATCACTGGTGTAACAGGAACATCGAAAGAAAAGAAAATATATATAAAATATAAAAAAAAGAAACGTAATTAAAGTGTATTATTATATATCTTGACTATATATAGACTTAGATATGTTCAAGATTAAATGTCATTAAATTAATCTTAACGCGTACTGATAATACCGGATTGAATTAATTTTTGAATTTTTTGTGCAATCGCTGGATTTTGTAAATGATCACGTAATGCTTGTGGATCATTTTGCATTTGTTCGAGAATCATACGCATACTTGGATCACCAAGAATTTGTTGAATTTCAGGATCAGCAGCTGCACGTTTACGAATTTCATCTGGATCAGTATTTGATTTTATTGAACATTGTCGTTGACCATCAATAGCTTCCTAAAATATATACTTAATAAAAATGAATATTCATAGATTTTTGTTTTACTTGACAATATGGATCGATTTCAAGAGCTTTACCATATGTAGACATAGCTTGACCTAAATCTTGCATTGCTACTAAAGCATGACCTTTACGAAGATAACATTTAACTAGAAATATAAAATAATTTATATAAAAACTAATTTCTTCATTTTTTTAAATTTACGAAATTTTGGATCGAGTTTAATTCCTTCTTCACAATCTTTGACTGCCAATGGAAATTCCATTAGTTTTGCATAACAAGCAGCTCGATTGGAATAAAGTTTTGCATCGGATGAATTTCGTTTAATAGCTTCACTAGATAAATATTCGATTATTTGAAATACTTTGTTTTTTGATTATTAATAAGATAACTTACGTATAATGTTTAAGTGCATTTGGATAATCAGCTTTTTGAAAATATTCATTTCCTTTCTTTTTTTCTTCTTCAGCTAATTCAGGATTATTATAAGCTGTTTTTTCTTTTTCTTTAAGTAGTTTTTCAACTTCTTGTTTTTTCTTTAAAATATCAGGATTTCGATGTTCAGCTAGCGAAGTATTATAAAATTTTATAGCAGCTTCATAATCTTTTTCTTGTGCTTTAACATTTCCCATACGGGCATAGGCTCTAAAAAAATAAACAAAAATATTTTTTGTTCAAGGTTCTTTTTTTTTTTTGTATTTCTACTTGGCAATCAATTTATAATCTGCTTTATTTTCCCGGCCAACTTCTATAGCTTGTTCACATTGTTTTATACAATCATCCCATCGTTTTTGTTCGAAATGAACAGCTACAAAAATAAATTAAATATGTAAAATATAAGAAATTTAACTAACCAGCTTTATTAGTATAATAAGTCATATTCTTTGGATCTAATTCACTGGCTTTATCATAATGTTGTAATGCTGCTTCAAAATCTTTTTTCTTGTATGCTTCATTGCCCTTCTCTTTTTCTGCTTCCGCGGAATTTTGTTCATTTACTTTATTTGGTGTTGAATTTGTATTTCTTTCTGGTTTAACATCAGCACCATCTGACATACCGATATCAAAACCAAGTCCAATACCAATGAGTTGCATTAATTTTGGATTTTGTAAAAGTGCTGTATTATTTGGTTGTTCTTGCATCATTTTCATAAGCATGGCTGTTTCAGGATCTTTTAATAGTTCTCGAGCTTTTGGATTTGTCATAAGTTCACTTTGAAATTTTGGATCAGAAAAGAAATCAAATG